AGAAAGAAAACAGGGAGGAAAAAGAAAGTTACATGAGAATTTTATCATATATTTAAAAGGAATAGCAAGCTGTACATAATAAATTTGCAGTTTCATATACGACAATCTTTTTCTACTCTACTGTATAACAAAATGCCTTATTTTATTCCTTAAGTTCACAATAAAGTAAATATTTTTAAAAAAGAAATAAAAGAAAAGGAAGATACTAGAGGAGAAGGGGGGGGACTTACTATTTCTATTAGTTGGAGTACACAAAAAGAATATACTACCCAGAGCCCATTGGTATGGAGCTCTCTCCTCACTGGTAGATGTCAATGCCCTGCACTTACATGAGATTAATTTTTTTTTTTTTGCGCTGGCTGAGTTTTTCAGAAAGAAAATAGTTTAGGCTGCCTATTGACAAGAGTGATCCCAGAAAACCAGAAGTTCTGTTGCTGTCTAATGGAACTGAAGATGCTGGGTGCCCATTAATGTTCACATCACTTGGCAGTCACCTCAAAGTTCCCTTTCTCCTCACCTAGCAGGATAAAAATGGGTCAATATAATCAGGTTGTATCCTTCCATCCCTAAACACTCAGAGCTCATTTCTTTTTCAAGAAGTCGTTTCTGGGAATTGTAAATCCTTCCCTCTTCCTCTTAAATAAGAAGTGGCAGGTAGGCAGGTTATTTGAGTCTGAAGGCCCACCCTTTCCAGACCTCCCTGCCTTTCTTTGCCCTGGCATCTCCTCACCTCTTCTTGGAACACCTACTTCCCTTCAAGGTTAAGTTTAGTACAACCTTCCCCTCCACTTGTTCAGTGCCCCTTCTGGTTATGATGTATTTATTAGTCATATCTTTTACATTTACTAATCTGAGTCCATGTTGTGTTTTTTCCCCAGTCCAACATTAGCTCTTTAAGGACAGGAATTGTTCTGTCTTCGTATTCCTGGGGCCTGCCATCTAGAAGACATTTTATTATTGAATTAAATGGGGATCGTATTAGTTTATATGTACGAGGGGAATGGAGATTTTAGAGAGAATGAAGGGCATATGTGCCAGAGAATGACCCACTTAAGCTGGAAGGGGCAGTAAAGATACAAGTTTGGGATTGGGTCTTTCCCCTTGCGTCATCTTTGGGGGTTGGGGAGCATGGGAAAATTCACCAGTGTCTGTCAGAGCTCCAAATTTGTCTTGCTTCAGAGGCCACATAGAGGATGTAATAAAACTAGCACAAAAAAACAATGATGGGAACTGTGGGCTGCTCAAGCAGAAGCTGCCCAAATGAATTAAACAAACTGAACTTATTAATAATGTGACACATGTCCCTTAGCAGCAGGTATAGGGCATCCTGAATGGACTTGCTCCGTGCCTGCATATCTGCCTTACAGAGGGCCAGAACTTCCAAGCCATTGGAACTTGGGCTGTGGCATGACTTAGAATGGGGAGAGGTGAAAGAGGAGGAAGGTATTTTAAAAGCTTTCCAGATAAAGCTCTCCAAGCCCCAAATTCAAGAAGCAAAGTTTAACAAAACTCCTATAGCTCATGCCAGTCAATAACAGCCAGTCGATAAAGATTTATTTAGTGTCTACAATATGTCAAGCACTGTGCTAAGTATGAGGAGCACATATGCAGGGAAAAAAAATGGTGGGGGGGGCTAGGAGGGATAGGGTGAGGTAAAGCACCCTATGTGGGAGCATGATAGAGTTTATTTCAAAGGAGTACAGCTGTGTAGGAAAGTGAAGAGATGGCTGCCCTGGAAACTCTCTTTAAATAGAGGTTTGGAGAATTCTTTATTTCTTTTTTTTTTTTTGGCTAGGCAGTGGGGTTAAGTGACTTGCCCAGGGTCACACAGCTAGTAAGTGTTATGTGTCTTAGGCCGTATTTGAACTCAGGCCCTCCTGAATCCAGGGCTGGTGCTCTGTTTACTGCACCACCTAGCTAACCCCTGGAGAATTTTTCATACCACCCTCCAGCCCTCCAATCAGAGGACACCAGAAGGCATTGAGGGTACTGATGAGGTATGAATAATCAGGCTGTTAAAATCTCGCTGGATGGTGAGCTTCCTGATGACAAGCTTCCTGTGGGCATGGTGGAGTCTAGTCCAAAAGAGTACCGTCGTCGAGTGGGAAATGATGAGACCACTGGCCTGGTAGTCCTCTTTAAATGGAGATTTGGAGAGTTCTTTGCTTTGCTCCCCAGCCCTCTAATCAGAGGGGCTACTTGTAGGTTATTGCTTTATTAATGCTTAAACCAGTGTGGCCTAACCCCAAAAAATTAGGAAAGAAAAAAATGAATAAAAGTAAAACAACAATAGCGATAAAATGATGCAACTTGTCTTTGGCCTTGCTCACAGGGAGCCAGTGAGCCTCGGGAGGTTTCGTTCTCTCGTCCTCTTGAAACAAAGCTGTCAAGAGTGATCCTGGAGCTTGTGAATTCAGTTTTAAACCCTTTTCTCCCTCTAGGCTCCCCCAGGCTCTTGTGCTACTGCCCCTATGGGCAGGGCAAGCAGTGTGCTGGAGCCAAGGAGAGCGGATTGTGCAACGTTCAACATCAGCATTTAGATCTTGGACATTGATAACAGCTATAAATCAGAGTTTGGTTCATTGTTGTGTTTATTGTCTAGACTTAAGAAGGTGATGGATATAATGTTAATGATGTAGACGAAGCTTAAAAGTGTGCTGAGAGGTTGGTTTTTTTTCCAGTGACTTAATTGTTAAGCATTTACAGCACACCCCTAGCAGACTCAAATATGGGGTGCATTCGTAACAGAAAAAAACACACAAGCTCCCCCCCTCAAAGGGCAAGTTTAGTTCCAGCTGGGATTTCATGGTGCATGGGGCTCTCCTAATAGGTACTTGAAATTTTGGATGAATCAGAAGTCAATCCCCTCAACCTCGGATGTGAGACCAAACCATGTTGAGTTGCAAAAAACTTTTGCCTGTCCCCTCAGCTGCTAATCTCCTTTCCAAGTGCTTCCCATCTGCTCTGTGTATATCTTGTATGCACCTAGTTGTTTGCACACTGACTCCCTATTAGAATGTAAGCTCTTTGAGGCCAGGAACGATTTTTGCCTTTCTTTGTATTCCTAGCGCTTTGCACAGTGCCTACAACAGAGTAGGAATTTCGTTAAATGCTTGTTGACTGACTGTCATTTCTCACATAGACTTCTAAAGCATATAGGGCAATCTAAATAGATTCCTGGGAGATGCTGGGGTTCTCTAAAGTAAACTAAGGGAAGGTGGGTGCTCTCACATCCAGGACACGTGCGTCAGAAAAGAAATTGAATGATCCTCAAAGGCCATTTAGAAGCTGGTGGCCCTAAGAAAGAGAAGGATTTTTTAGGAAAGGACTTTGGGGATTTACTTTTAGAGATTGTTTTGCAGTTCCCAGGCTTTTTATTTTGAGATCCATGAGTCACTAAGTCTTATCTTTCAGATGGCAAGAATAGCAAAAAACGGGTCTAAAAGGAGATAATTTCAGAGACACTTAAAGGAATGAAAACTATAAGAAAAATTTTATTAGAACTGTCACTATTGTACCTCATACTATTCAGCTAAAATGATGGTGCAGACTGTTAGAATGCCCTGACCTGATTATTGAAGGAGATTGGGTCAAAAGACTGGATAGCTTTATTATAATCAAAATGTCGATTCATGTCTAACAGTAGAATGAATTATTTACTAATAAGGACTTGCCTCCTCATCTAGACTTGTGTGATGACTTATAAGACAAATATGTTTTTCTATTAGTATCTACTCTGCTCTTTTTTAACCTTAAAAGCCAGTCTTTACTAGAATATGAAGAGGTGGACAAAAATTAGTTACTTCCTCCAATAATCGAGATCAGAGGGCCTATGTCAGTGTGCCAAGCACTGTGCTAAGTGCTAGGAATAAAAAGGAAAAAAAAAGACAGCCCTTGCCTTCAAAGGACTTACAATCAATCTAATGGAGGAAGACACCTCAGAAGGAAGCTAGACTGGGGAGGGCAAGGTACCTGATGTGGGGATATTTTTTAAAAGTCCAGGAGTGCAGCTGGGTGGGAAGTGAAGAGATAATTGGCCTGAGCAACCTCCTTAAATGGAAGTTTTAGCAAGAGCTCTTCACTTCACTCTCCAATCAGAGGGACCCACAGGGAAGAGGGCATTGATGAGGTGTGAGATCAGCTAGAGCTGATCTGATTTTGCAGGGGATTGATGGTATCCTTGCCATTGTGGTATCCTTGCACTGACCAAGGGCAAAGGTATCATTCCTTCTAGAGTGATGACAAACACCAAAATATCTTCCTACTTTGTGTCCCTTCCAGCTCCAATCCAGTCACCAAACGATATTCTTCACTACTCATTAATTCTAATACTTGGATATGTTTTTTTAAATGGAATGAGCTGCCCTGTGAGTTGGCCAACATCAGAATTATTTAAGCAGCAACTGCTTGGGGAAGAAGGTTAAATTATGTGACATTCAGTTGGGTCCCATTCAATTCAAGTATCTATAATTCTAAGAATCTCACTTCCCTGCCCAAGAATTTGAGGTAGTTCCCTATCATAGCAATTCCAGTCATGTAGGATCTAATCTCTTCTCTCTACTACAAAATTCTGGCCACCGGTTCAAATAAGTTTAATGTCTGTACCATTCCACTCAGCTAACCCCACTTTTTATTCCCATAGCTCTGCCTTTCACATTCTTTTCTTATCCTAAGAATCCCACTTCCCCCTCTATGATGTCCCAAGCCCATTACCTCCTTCAAAACCTTGTTTGTTTGTTTGTTTGTTTCCATCCATTAAGACCAGGATCATCATCATCATCATCAGACATCATCAAAGACATGTATGTGTGCCATGAAAAGAAGTTGGGCCAGTCATGCAGTGCAAGTGTAGGATAACAGATAGAAACTTAAGTGTTAAACCAATATCCACAAAATTGAAGATTTGGAGATGGGGTTCTTTTTAGTCTTTTTTATGCAATGTATGCTTTACTCAGAATAATATTTTTAAATGTATAAAATAAAATACATAGGATTACAAATGAAAAACATTATATTGAAATATAGTCATCAAAATATTTGAATACATATACATTCACAGACCCCAGATTAAGAATTCCTAACCTAGAAGATAGTCCTTAATGTAAATGAACAAGCATGTGCTAAGTGCCAGGGATATAAAGAAACACAAAACCAGTATTTGCCCTCTAGGACCTCACATTCTAATAGGGGAAACAATATGTAAATAAGCAGAAATATATAAGATAAATAGAGATAGATGAAAGATGGGGGGGGTTGCAGGATATGAACAAGAACAACTCAGAGGAAATAGTGAAGGGTCTAGTGATCTAAACAGATGGATAAGATCACAGATCCATTCAGGTACCAAAGTATTAAGGTCCATAAAGGCAAACCCTTCACTCCATTCATTTAAGCTGGGAGCAATAGAAGGAAAAGGTTTCTACACAGTGCCACATGCAGAAAGTCAACATATGTTCATTTTACTTTCTGAGTCAACACTTCACCATGAGTCCAGTGGTTTCGGGATGAATTCTTGGCGAGGGGTGTGGGGGCGGGGGTAGGAAGGAGGGACAGGGGGGGCCAGAAGAGAACAACTGTTTGTCATTAAAAAAAAAAAAGAATATGATTGTGGTTTTATATCATTTCTTTTCTGTAAGGAGTAGAGGATTGACAATCACGAGCGATAATCTTTGATTTTGTAGTAGTATATACTTTTCCAGGTTTCTGTTTCCACCTTATATGCATCCATATGCCAACAAAGACCAAGAAGATGAGTGAGAGAGGAGCCACAGCAATTCCCCAGGAAAACGTAGGTTCTGGAAGAAGCCATAGAACTCAATTACTGTGCATAGCATTCTCTAATTATCTATCATGAAGTTGTAATTGCAGTCTACCTATTACAGGTTAGCTGAGGCTCAGAGACATGAAGTGACTTACAAAGTTAATAAATGCTAGTTGTTTGGAAGGGATGAATCTTTGTATTGATAAAAAAAAATTGTGACATTGTACAGTTATGACTTCATACCTCTGGGCTTCAAGTCCCTCATCAGTGAAATGCATCTAATATTTCTCTCCTCTCCTTCGTAGGCATTTAGGGAACAGGGGTAGAATTGGATTCTTACCAATGGAAACTCCCTTTATCCATGCAAACTGATGATTTGTGTATAATTTACAATTCTTAGGCAGTTTCCCATCACACTAGGAGATTAATTGACTTGCTCATGACCACACAACAAATATGTTTCAAAGGTTGGACTTATACTCAGATCTCCCTGACTTCAAAGCTAGTCCTCTCTATCCATTACACCAAGGATTGTGAGAAAATTAACAGAGACCCAAAATATGAAAAAATCTAGGATTCAAGTTGTTGCAAATGTCAGACATTATGCAACATGCATGGAAAGTTCCTTATTTTTAAGTTCCATCCTTTAGTTTCCTCATACTAATCGAAATCATAACTAAGAAAAAAGTAAATGAATGAACATGCAAGTGAATCAGGAATGGTCACAGCTACCACTTCCATACCAAATTCCTAGTTTTCAATTCATTTTTTGATCACAACCTCTAACCATTCCAGAGTTAGCATTGTCAAAGTCTGTTTTCCCCACAAAGTTGCTAACACTTTTGGCATAAGGGTGATAAACTGTAGATTTCCTGACTAGAGTTCTGCTTTTAATATCTGATATCTGATGAACAATTTTTTTTTCTGCTTTTAATCTGATGAGATTAAAATCTGAGATCTGATGAACAATGGAGGGCTATTTCTAGAGTCCTGTCTCTGGAGATCAGTAATATGTAGAGTCCTGTCTCTAGAGATAAGTAATATGTACTTTAAAAGGGTTTCCAGGGACTACAGATCACTTTATGATGGATTTCATAACACTAGTGTATATGTGTGGAGCACTTTAGGGTTGCAAGGAAATTTACACACTAAGGTAGATAAATTGTAATTGCAATCTACCTATTACAGGTTAGCTGAGGCTCAGAGACATGAAGTGACTTCAAAGTTAATAAATGACAACAGCAGAACTTAGCCTAATTCATCTGATTGTTAGTTCTTTGCTCTTTTCTGGGGACAGTATCAAAGGAATTACCTTCCTCCCTTGAGTCTGAACGCACATTTTGGAGTTTGATGATTATTTTTTTTGGTATGTTCCATACCACTTAGAATAAAGTAGAGATCAGGTCAATGCCAGTAACCAAAGAGTAATGATACAGACTCTAGGCATGAGCTCTGGCTGTCCCCAGTGTCTAATCTGCATAATTGCCAGATTCCCTGTGTAATGTGTGAGCATTCAGGAAATAAAAAATTATTTCACTAACCTCATAAAGAATGACAAACATTACAGTTTGCTTTTCTGGTGTGCCCACTTCCTCCAACAACAACAATAACAAAATGTTTCCTTCTTTCAATGATCGCTCTGTGCTCTTATTTACATGCCCTTTCTAAACCAAAGCCTGGGTCACCAGGCTCATAAAACTCTGAGGACTAATGTCTTAGACTCTCATAAATAGGAAGGTGGAACAGCTCCAAGTGACTCTCCTCCTGAGCCTTGCTATTGACCAGGCAGGCTTGTCCTCTCAACTTAGAATCTTTCTAAAGAACTTCAGTACTTCTCAAAGTATATTAGACAATCATCTTAACCTTTTTCTAAAAATTTGCTTGCTGTCCTTTAAACTTTTCATCCTAACTCATCTCTCTCCCCATCCCCACCCTAACCCTCATTCAGATCCAACTCTCATATATATAAAATTGTTTAAAATGAGAAATATTCATCCTTCCAGAGTACAATCCCTTAGTACCATCCTTCAGTTAGACAAGTAAAGAACTGTTTAAATCAAAGGTTCTTTTTGTTTGTTTGTTTGTTTTGTTTTTAGACAATTGGGGTTAAGTGACTTGCCCAGGGTCACACAGCTAATAAGTGTCAAGTGTTTGGTCTGAGGCCAGTAAATCAAAGGTTCTTAACCAAACAGTCTGGGAATAAATTTCAAGGAACCCATGAACTTAGATGGGGGAAAATTTACATCTTTATTTTCACTGATTTTTGTTTTCCTCTGTAAACCTATGTATTTTATTTTATGCACTAAAGGCATTATTCTGATAAGGAATTCATAAGTTTGAGCAGACTACAAAGAGGTTTTGTGACACACACAAGAGTTAAGATCCTTAACTTCAATAATATCATGGAAGAATGCATTTGAGAGACTGTTATGGAGATGAGTAATGATTAGACCTCATCTGTATGTGCCATAGGGCACATCCAGAAACAAAGGACAGAATCAATCAACCAACAAGCATTTATTAAGCACGTCTTAGGTTCCAGGCACTGTATTAGATGCTGGAGATATTAGGACAAAAATGAGTCAGTCTCTGCCCTGAGGTAGCTAGGTGATATAGTGGATAGAAAGCTGAGCAGGCTGTTAGGAAGATCTGAGTCTAAATCCAGAATCAGACACTTACTACCTGTGTGATCTTGGGCAAGTCACTTAATCTCTGCCTCCCTTAGCTTTCTCACCTGTAAAATGGGGATCAAAAAGCACCTACCTCACAGGACTGTTGTGAGGATCAGTGCCAGATATGTGGTAGGTGCTTAATAAATACTTCTGCCTAAAGGAAGTCAACACCTACACATACAAGTATATGGGAATGCTATCCAAAATAGATACAAGGTAATGGGGAATGATGGTTGAGGTGGGAGGAGGAATCAAGAAAAGCCAAGCTGAAAAGGAGAACAGGGTTCCTGATATGTGCAAATGCAAATTTAGGTTTGATCCCAAAATGGAATGGGCTGAAAGTTGTGGGTGGGAGTGGGGGAAGTTTCCCCTCACTGCAGATGTTCAAACAGATGCTAGATTACTACTTTTCAATGATGTCAGAGTAGGGACTACTTTTGGGGTGTGTGCTGGGCTAGATGGCCACAGAGGTCCCTTCTAACTCCCCAATTCTGTGATTCTGTTAATTCATCAACAGAGAATTTGTACTGTTTGTCCTCTGTGGATGAGGATACTTACCTTCTTTAACTCTTACTTGCAAGGTCTGGTATCCCAATCTGTTTTGGGCAGTGCATATAAATTCAGTGTTCAAATCCTTCTTTTCCACTGAATTAAATATCAGAGACATTTCCATATAGATCCTATTGTTTTCTGAATATTCACTGGGTGAGAAAAGGGTTTGGGTAAAAATGTGAGTTTAAAAAACAAACAAATTAATCTTCATAACCATCATTCTAATTCTGGGAGAATTCATTAAGGCCTAGGATGTCAATGATGAGGTAGGCAATGGCAAGATATAGATGAAAGGAGAAATCACCCCCATCAAGGACTTTGTGATCCTTGTTCTCAGTCAGGTGCATTTGGAGCATTTAACCCTGTGAACAGCAGTTCATTTTGATAAGGTTAAGCTCTTGCTGAAGTTCATTCATACAGTGGGATCAAGGTGACTACAGTAGCCTTGCTTTAAGTAATGGAAAGTCAATTTAAAAATATTTGGCAAACCAAGTTAATGAGAGCAAGCAGCAGCTAATTTCAGGGAAAATCTAAGTGTGCCATTAATAAATCTTTTGCACATTGATGGACAGGACCTGGGACTCAGCCTGCAGCTGAGTAACTAGGACAGAGAGTGCCAACCAGGGAAGTGCCTACAACTCTTTCTCTCTGAACCTGCAGAGACTCAAGCTAGCTTGCACATCTAGGACCAAAAACTCTCTATGGGAGCTAGGGACAAGAAAACAACTTTGGGGTTAGAAGCCTGCAACACTCAAACAAAGAAGGCAGCGAGCAGACCATGCCCTAGAAGGGGCCACTTAGGACCTGCTGATAGTTTGCAGCTCCAGGGTCTGATGCCACCAGAGATCCAGGAATAACATAGCACTCAGCACTTGGAGAAAGCAGTGACAGACCCCAAATAATATAGATCAAGGCAACACAGGCCCCCAAGTTTCTCCCCAGAAATGTGTACATTCTTGGGCCTTATGTGAAGTCCTAGTTCAGGAAGAAAGGCCAGAAGAATGAGAAAACACAAAGGGGATATTTAATAAGGGTAATACAGAACTGTCTCCAAGTTCATGAGTGGTAATTGCTTACCAAATATTTCTTTTTAAAAAATATAGAACTGTGTTTTAATTTGCAGAGGAAACTCCCAGTGAGGAATCTCTCTCTAATGATGTCATACAGATCTGCAACCTGCAACCCTTTTGCAATTTATAGGCTAAGAAAATTGTCTGAGGCACTGATAAGTTATTCTTCGTTACTCTGAGTCTGACTTTCTCTTTTTAGTTACTCTGGACTGCTTCACTGTTGCTTGCCAATGTGAAAAATGATTTTATTAATCATTACCATAGAGATTCAGAGCTTTCCTCCAGTCCCCTTCTTTCAAAATCCTGACATTTCTGATAATGAGATTACATTGACTCTCCATATCCTGGTCAGACCCCAGCCCAAGCTCACATATAATTTAATCTAAGGTACTGAAGCCCCATTGTGTTCTGCTCCCATTTGGGTGGAGACAGATTGGCAGCGATCTGTCTAGATAGCCCAAAGCTGGGAGTGGTCTGGTATGGTTGGAGGAGGTCTGATAGAAGAGGTATTTCCTCTGACCAGGCATTTCCTCTGTCTGGAGATAAGATGATGGTGAAATGATATCAGCCTCAGTTGAAAGGGTACATAAATTGTGCACTCCAATCCTAAATTGAGCTCTGAGTTCCAAACTGTTATCTCCCACGCATGTATGTCACCAGCTTTGAGAGAAATAAAACGATGGATAAAACCTAATCATGTTGGTCTTTCTTAGACCAAACTCTGAGGTTGATGCCAGCAATGTGCAAATAACAAATTATATGGGGTTTTCAATCTATTAGAGCATGGATTATAGACCATTAGAGCTGGAAGGGACCTTAGGGCATCATATATTCCAGCTGTTTCCATTTACAAATGAAGAAAGTAGGGAGTGAAGATGACTTGCCTAAGACTGCCAACAAAGAGTAGAAAAGGGCAGCTAGGCGGCACAGTGGATAGAGCACCGGCCCTGGATTCAGGAGGACCTGAGTTCAAATCTGGCCTCAGACACATAACACTTACTAGCTGTGTCACTTAACTCCATTGCCTAGGCAAAAAAAAAAAAAAAAGAGAGAGAGAGTAGAAAAGCAGGGTATCCTAAGTCCTGGGACAGTGTCTGCCTCTCCCCCAAGCTGCCTTCTGCAGACCAAACAATACTAAAGATATTTGGCATTAGGCAATAAGGACATGTTAAGGAGGGTGTTTTGGATGACCAAAACTAAACTTATTTTCAATTATTTTATAATTTTTGACCTTTCAGCGGGCCTTCTCTCTAGTTCCACTTAAGTTTCATTCAATGCAAGGAACAAAGCTTTTTAGATAGGGGCTGCCAAGTGGTGCAGTGTACAGACACCAGCCCTGGAGTCAGGATGACCTGAGTTCAAATCCGGACTCAGACACTTACTTAGCTGTGTGACTCTGGGCAAGTCACTTGACCCCAATTGCCTTGCCAAAAAAAAAAGGAAACAATTAAGAAAGCTTTTTAGATTTCTTTGATTTTTAAAACTAGACTTTTTTCTTTAGTTAACTTCCCTATGTTCATAGGAACTGATACAAAGTAAAATAAGCAAGAATCAGAAACCCCCCCCCCACAATATATGCAATAACTATAATAATGTAAACAGAAATAAATCAACAATAGAACAATAAAAAACCCTAACTGAATATTGGGTGATTATAATGAACAAACTTGGCCTCAAAAGAGATATAAGAAAAATACCTATTTTTTCGACCCTCCTTTGAAAACATAGGGGACTATAGACATATAGTACTACATATAATGTTGGCCTTTTCCTATATGTTGGTTAGTTTCCCTGACTTTTCTTTTCTTTTCTTTTTTTAATTCTTTGTTGTAAGAAATTACTTTCTGGAAGAAGAAGGGGAGGAATCCAGTAAGAAAATGTAAGGGAGATAAAAACAAAAGATTTTTAAAAAATTATTCTAAAAATATTAACATCCCTTTACAACTGCTAAAAATTAAATTCCCTCTTTTGCTGCACACCAATTCTGAGAATGAGAAAGCCAGCCCAAAGAGCCAGTACAAGTGATAAGATTCTAAGTTTTATTAAGTAAACTTACTGGAGCTGTCCCTCTTTAACTCGTCCTTCTTTGTAGACATGATGCAGGAAAGTATTATTTGCTGTCCACCGCAAAAGTGCTGTAGGCCGTGAACCCAAGCCAAAAAATGCTTTGCAGGGAATTATCAGTTTTGAACCTAGATAAAGACAGATTAAACAAAGAGTCAGAGAGGGGCAATTTAAGAAAAGAAGAAAAAAAAACAAGAATAGATGAATGCTTCCTGTCATAGCTTCCAATAGGGGCCTCACTAGGCTTTCTCAAGTAGATTCACCACAACCAAGTATCTTGAGCAAAATGACCATTTTGGGGGGCCACTTACTTTCTAAAAACATCTTGGTCGTCCAAGTCTTCTTTTGCACAAAAGCTAGATTCCTCAAAATAGTTCCCTAGAACTTCCAGATTATCTATTGAGTTTCCCACCTCAACTTAGTTCCACTACTGGTCTACATCCCAATTTCTTGCATGGTCTCTCTATAATTATAACAATACATAGCATTTATATAGCACTTTAAGGTTTGCAAAGTGTTTTTACATGTATTACCTCATTTGATCCTCACAAAAACCATGGCAGGTAGGCTATTATTACCATCACTATTTTACAGTTGAGGAAATTGAAGCTAGAAGAGGTTAAGTGAATTACCCAGGGTCATACAGCTAGTAAGTGCCTGAGGCAGGATTTGAATTTTTATTCTTCCTGACTCCAAGTCCAGCCCTCTACCCACTGGGCCACCTAGCTGCCTATAATAGAAAGGAATAGGAAGCAGAGATGGCAGATGTGGAGGGTGCTGGATTAGAGAAAACAAAAAGATGGAATGAACTTTAGAGGCATTATTGTGTAGCAGATAGGACGTTGGACTTGGAGTCAGGAGGACCTGGATTCAAATCCTACCTCAGATTCTTACTAGCTCTGTGAGCCTGTGCAAATTATTTCACTTCCCTGACCTTTAATATTTCATTTGTAAAGCAAAGGGGTTTGGAATAGATAGTCTCTTCCAGTTTTAACTCTATGATCCTATTATCCCATGAAGTCCCCATTCCCATATCTCTCACAGGGGGAAAAAAATCTTTGAAAAAATGAACTTTTTCTTTTGTTCTTTCAATCAGATTTCTCCTCTGACCTCTCCTAATTGTCTCTCTTTCCATTTTGTAATCACTTCCCCATTCTGATGTCTTCCCTCTCTTTGAATTAAAAGAAGAAATGATTCCAGTATTGATAGCCCAGATTTCTCTGTCCACAAACCAAAAACCAAAGGCATCCCTTTTTTTTTGTTCTCACCCTTATGGGTTCCTACCCTCTAATATACATCTTAAAACACACACACACACACACACACACACACACACACACACTCACACACACATCCCCCTCTCTTCCCATGTCCTAGTTGGCCCAGATGAGAGATGAGAGCTGATGTGCACCTAGGGAAACATGGAATTTTGAACACTTGAATGCCAAACACTAGGTTTCCAGTTCCCAAAGTCTATTTAAAATAGGTTCTTTCCAATAGTAACCGCTTTAGGGCAGCCAAATAAAGAACATGTTAATCCTAAAACAGAAATGAAAAGTAGGTCCCTTGACAAGCATGAGTATCTACATGTTGACTCTTTGTGGTTGTTGTTTTTCAGTCATGTCCAAATCCTTATGACCCTTTTTGGGTTTTCTTCGTAAAGATCCTGGAGCAGTTTGCCATTTCCTTCTCCAGCTCATTTTACAGATGAGGGAACAGGGTTAAGTGACTTACCCAGGGTCACCCAGCTAGTTGTCTGAGGCTAGATTTGAACTCAGGAAGAGGAGACTTCCTTACTCCAGGCCCAGCTCTATTCACTGCACCACCCAGCTGCCCACATAAATACTATGGTAGCCTTAAATAGTCACTACTACATGTTTGGGTCACACTCAAATACTTCTATGTGTGTCCCATAAGTTATATGAGCATTGTACCACCTTCAGCTGGCTCTACACTCCAGTAGTTGAGAAATGAAAAATTCATTTAATTGGCATTTTCATGCCACTAGCCAAATAACCAATATGTTTTTTTCCTGTGTTGGCTGACTTTTTAAGTAACACATAGATGGAGCTTTAGAATAACTCTTGAGAAGACAGGGAACAGATTGTGTTTGTTGTATTTAGCCCTTAGAGCTCTAGGGGCCATGAATAAAAACTAAGGGCTTAACACAATATCTTTCCGGGCAAGAGTATAGAGGGAATATTTCTATAAAGAATATTTTACTTATTAACAGTCCTGGTTATTCCTTTTATAAAAGGAATACAGCTGGATCCCAATTAATGCAAATAATGAATCCTGTGATATAGTTTCATATATTCAAATTCATATTATCTGAAGTTATAGTCATGCAAAATATGGTCATTGGTTCCAGTCTAATGGAAGGAAATAATACATTACAAATTCAAATAATGTGAATTTCATATGATTCATTATTTGCACTAACTGGGACCTAGCTGTAATCACTCAGAAAGGTATACTTCTGTATCTTTGTATTTTGGACACCCTTAACCTTTATTAAAGGTCAACTCTGATATCTCACTGTGGTTTGGAGGTGTCTGGGTCCTCAAAGACCAGCAGAGTAGAAGCTCTGACTGGTGCAATCAAGTGTGGACCTAGTGATAGATTGTGTGGATGTGTATTGAGGATCAACCTAGCTAAGTTCGGGCTCTTCACCAAGTTGGGTTCAGGTTTCAGCCACAGCAACTTGTGAAGACCCTCTACTAAATCATAGTGGGGTTGCTACTTCCTTTGATGGATAAAATTATTGGTTGTTGAAACAATAACAATAACAACAACAACAACAATGATAATAGCTAGCATTTATTTAATACTTTAAAGTTTGCAAAGCACAGTGCAAATATTATTTCATTTGATTTTTACAACAATCCTGGAAGGTTGGTGCCATTATTATTATTATTATTCCCATTTTGCAGATGAGAAAACAGGTAGACAGAGATTAAGCAATTTGTCTATGATTACACAGCTAGTATTTGAGGCCACATTTGAGCTCAGGTCTTCCTAATTCCAGTTCCAGCACTTTATCTACTGCCCCAAGTAGCTGCCTCAGTCAATGCCTAATTAACTTAACCTTAATCTATAAAGGAGGGAGTTGGAATTAATCATTGACCCATCTAGTCTGGTTCAGGGGATTTAACTTTTTTGTGTGTCCTGGATGCCTCTAGAAGTATGTTAAAGCCTATGGACCTTCTTTGAATATTGTTTTTTTAAGGAATTGAAGGAAATGCTATATTTCAGTTAGAGGTGAGTGAAAAAAAAATTCGTTTTTTCCCTCATTCAAATTCTTTTGTGTGTGTGTGTGTGTGAGGCAACTAGGGTTAAATGACTTGCCCATGATCACACAGCTAGTAAGTGTCCTTGTCTCAGGCCAGATTTGAACTCAGATCCTTCTGACTCCAAGGCTGGAGCTCTATCCACTACACCACCTAGCTGCACTCCCCCCTATTCAAGTTCAAAGATGAAACCTGTCCATGGACCCTAGGTTAACTGGTCCCTTCCAGCAGCATCAAAATTTAACACTGTTCTTGTTACGTTATTGCAGTGAGTACATTTGAGCCCTTTGGGTTTGAAGAAGTCACTGACGGTCCTTACCAAGAGAAGTCAACACAGTCTTATTAGATCCAATAATCACTGGCATGGTCTCCTCCTTTTTTTCTGGGATGAAAAAGAGATTTCATTAGGAAAACAGTAGTTCCAGGAAAGCCAAAGTGTTAGAAGAGATAATAGCTGTCATCTCCATTTCAAGCCAGTGGCTAAGTCCTATTGTTTGCCTCAATTATGTCCTACTTTATTCCCTGTACATAACACCAGATTTATCCTTTATCTTGCAGAGGAAACAGTCTCCCCACCAGATTGGAGCAGCTTGGGTCACTGCCTTTCCCAGAACAGTAATTACCAGAAAAGGTCAAAGCTAAATACATGTGACCAACTCTCATTCTGGACACTGTGGCAGACAATTAACCATTTCCCATCTTAGTCTTTTTTAAAAATTTGCTACATTTCTATCATTATTATAACAATTATGATCATAAAATTTAGGTATAATTATTAAAGTAACTGGCACTGTTAACCCCACTTATAGATAAAATTACCAAAAAATCAAATTAAATTTAAAATGACCATTAGCATGATTCATCAAAATGAAGTAACAATTTTCTATAATAAAATAACAGCCAAATGTTGGGCAGCTGCCATTTGGCAATCTTGCCCAAGGATCAAGAGAGTTGCTCCCTCTAAGGCAGGGGCTCTCAGCCTTGTTTGTGTCATGGACCCCTTTGGCAGTCTGGTAAAGACAATGAATCCCTTCTCAGAATATTGTTTTTAAAAACATAAAATACATAGGGTTAGAAAGGAAAAATACATTAAAATATAGTTATCAAAAAATTTTTTTTTAAGTTCATGGACCTCAAGTTAAGAAACTCTGTCTAAGAGATATGATTTGAGAGGAGCCACAATGAAGTTCACCAGTCTGCAAAAACCTCAGCTGTCCCTTCACACTCTCCCATACCTAAAGTTCCCAACACTTGATTTTTGTCTGAAGGGCTGGGGTTCAATGAAACGCTCTGTCAGAATCCAAATTCTCCTGGAAGGTAATACATAAACCACAGTAACTGCCATTCATTAACATCCAGAATTGATTTACCAGAATTCTAATTTTAAGCAGCAGAAACAGATTCCCAGGGAAGTTTTGCTGAGGGAGAGTAGAAAGGAATGGGTACTGCCTGATGAGATGACCCTCACATGGACTGTCACAGGGAATCTTACTTCTTCTGGGGAGCCAGTGGGCAATGGAATACCTTGAGTAGCAGGGAGGAAGGGAGGGTCAAATAGGTTCCACTAGTGGGTGAGATGATGCCCACAGAGGACATCAGCCCATCTACTTTTCTCCACTTAACCTGTTACCTGTCACTGTTCAAACAGTGAAATGTGTAAATACTGGGTGCCATTTGATCAATAGATTTAGTTATCTAATACTACAGTAACGTAAAATCCTGGTTCTATCTAGTCAGGAGCTTTCCCTTCCCTTCCATTCCAATCCACTACCAAAGCATGCACATAAAAAATCAGCACTCAGTGTCTTCCTGGCTTAAAGCCTGCCTCTGGGAGGCAAGCAGGAGCACTCCTCTACTAAATCTCAGAAAGTCATCTTGGTGACATTATATTGGATAAAATGTAAGACTGCTGCCCCCATGTGTTCCTTGTCAATATTGCACTGACCGGATAATTTCAGAACCACTGTTTTTAGGCTGACTATAACCCTAGTGATGGCAACAAGACAGCATCTCTATGATGGATGCTTAAGAATGAGAGTTGCATTCTAAGAATATGGTGTAGATTCAACAGCTCCACAGAATACTTCCTGAGTGACCTTGGGGAAGTCACCCACACCCCTGCTCTGAGGTTCAGTTTGTCACTGAAAAAAATCACTGAGTAGATTGGAATAGATGATCTGTAAGACCTCTTTCGAGGTCTATGATTTTGAGTCACTATTTACACATGGGGTATGATTATTCAGAGACGGTGTGGCACCACAGATAGAAAGCTGGATCCTTACTACAAAGTGGCTCAGACAAGTCACTTAGCCTCTCAAGGTCCTAGGTAACTCTATGTAACTTTTAAGTTGCTCCTTTTCTGTTATGGCCAACTTTTCATGACCACATTTAGAGTTCTTTTGGCAAAGATACTGGAGTGGTTTTCCATTTCCTTCTCCAGCTCATGTTACTCGAGGGGATTTTACTCATTTATAGGAAACTGAGGCAAACAGGGCTAAGTGACTTGCCCAGGGCCACACAGCTATTAAGTGTCTGATTTGAACTCCAGAATGTGCCTTTCTGACTCCAAGCCTGGCACTCAAGCCACCATGCCACCTGCAGAGCAGGGTTAAAGAAGGGATATCCTCACTAGAGGTTTCATATGCCAATGAAATCATTGGTCTGCACTCCTTAAGAGTAGAGATGGTTTCATTCTTTTTATTTCTATCCCTAGTACCTAACACAGTGCCTGGCACATGGTAGCTTACTGATTGACAAGTAGTGACTGACATAAAAAATAAGTACAATAGTCAGTCTTTACTTTGCTACCATAAAGACCAAAAAAATCAGTCTCTTAGCAAATTGCCCTATTTTTAATATTAAACATTTTATTTCTCAAGCTTTCTGAAGTCCTTGTAAAAGGTACAATGTCAGTTTTTAAAGTAAAAACAGATATAGACATAGATATTCAACATTTGTTATGGCCCACAGAAACCACTCTCTTTTATAAAACTGTTACTCCCAGCACCAATTCACTGGGAATGAAAAGAGTTTTCTGGGCCACTCTCCAACAAGACTAATGAAGAATCCAAAGTCATGGTTGGTTAGTTATGGCCCAAAAAGGAGAAGCTACTACAAGACATATCAATAGATAATTGTTTGCTCAAAACAGAAGACCCCACCTTATTCTGGGTCTCTGTTTCCTCTCATCTGTAAAATGAGAGTTGGACTAGATGACCTAGTTTGAGGTTCCTTCCGATGTTAAGTCTATGATTGTATGGGCCAGGGACCAGACTTGTGATTTCATTGGTTCATAGAACTGCCAGAAGAGAGGACACCTCTTGTGCAATCTACAGTCTTAAAGAATGGTCTAGGGCACTGAGAGATTAAGTGACTTGCCCAGAGACTCACAAGCAGTGTGTGTCAGAGGTAGGACCTGATCCTGGATGTTCTGGGCTTCCAGGTCAGCCCTCTACTATGCTACCTCTTACAATCTTATAATTCCCCTCAAATGACTGTACTATCACATCTAGAAGTGGCCAAAGCTGTACTATAGTTCTTGATGTTGACTCATGCCTTATATGGAAAACTATTTCCATAACCTGTATTAACACTTTCCACTCAGTGAAGTCAGCATCAAGTCAGGCATATACTAGGCTCCTTCTATTCATGTCCTCACCTCTTTGCCTTAGTACAATGCGTTCTACTTTTCAAACATTTCTTTCAAGTGACACTGTAAGAAAAATCTCTCTCTCTGTCTCTGTCTCTTTCTGCCTTTCCCTCTCTCCATTTCTGCCTCTTTCTGTCTGTCTCTCTCTGTCTCTTTCATTTACTCATTTTGTTTTGCCCTACACACCCAAGGTAATGGCAGAACCTCAGTGCAACTCCACAAACTCATTAGTAAATAAGGCTGGAGTAAAAACAAATAAACCAAACCAAACCAAACCAAACCAAACAAAAAACTAAAGATTGTATACTGTCCATACTTACTGATGATGCGTGGATTAATGTGCCTGGTGATGTTATACTTCACACCTTCATAGACAAAAGGTAGTTCGCAGGTATAGTAACCAGAGCTGTCCAATGACACATTGTTTATATGGCAGTAAACGGATCCTTTCAAAATTGAAAACGTCTTGTTGCTTTGGTCCAAAAGAACTGCATCCTTTGAGAAATGTTTTTAAACATCACCCTATATACTTTGACATGTGTAAATAGAATCATCATTATCAACTCATTGCTTCTCTTCACCCTTATACCTTATAAGTATTTATCAAGCACCATGAATCAAGCACTAGGTACTTTGGAAGATAGCAAAATATCATGCTAAATGTACCTTCTGTTGTATAATCATGGAGTGATTTCAGCAGAGTGTAGACATTTTTAGAGATGTAAAACAAAACCCCACAGCTAAAATGAGATTATTGTCCTCTGAGATTATCGTCAGTCATCCTGACTTTTGTCTTGCCAGTGGACTTTAGTGACTTTGGATGGAGGAGCAAGGCTGATGACTGTGCAGCTCTGCCTCACTTTAATCCAATTCTTGGGCAAGTCAAGACATCACCCTGTGATATCATTAGTCCTCTTCAAAAATTGAAGAACAATAATCTTCCATTTATACTAAATGTATTTTGTGTATTGCTCCCCCCATTAAACTATAGTAGCACTTATATAGCAGCATTTTAAAGTTTGCAAAGCACTTTACATATTCTGTCTCAATTATTCTTTACAATAACTCTAGGATATAGGTTCAATTGTTATTCCCATTTGACGGATGGGGAAACTAAGGCTGAGACAGGTTAAATGACTTGCCCAGGGTCCCAGGGCTAGCAGGTTTCTGAGGCAGGATTAGAACTCAGGTCTTCCTGACTCCAAATCTAACACTTCAGGTACTGTACCACCTAGCTGTCAGTAGAATGTAAACTCCTTGAGGGCAGGGACCCTGCCAGCATTCAGTAGAGTACCTGGCATATAGTAAGCACTTAAAAAATGCTTGCTGACTGAAAGATAATAGTAATAGTCCCTTTAAGATATACCAATATTAAAAAAAATACAAATACAACTGAGGTAGGATTAGAATGCAGGTATTTCTGACTCCAAATCTAGTATTCTGTGTACTTGGAGTCCATAGAATGTAAACTCCTTAGTGGCACATACCCTGCTTTTCCTTTTCTTTGTATTCCCATAATTTAGTACATTTGTGGCTTTTATAATGGCATTTAAATTATTGCAATTATGTGATGGAATACTACTCTGCTGGAAGAAATGATGAGCTGGTTGAATTTAGAAAAACATGGGAAGACTTGGATGAAATAATGAAGAGTGAAATGAGCCGAACCAAGAGAGTGTTACATACAGTAACAGCAATGCTGTTCAAAGAATAACTGTGAACAACTCAGCTATTCTGAATATTATCAATAATCAAATCAACTACAAAAGATTTATGAGGAAAGATGCTATCCACCTCTAGAGAAAGAACTGATAAATAGAAGTAATGTACAGTATGGCTTTACAACAGAGAGAGAAAAAAAGAGAGACAGAGAGAATGGTTTTTACTATATATGTATATATGTGTGTATATGTACACATCTGTGTTTAACAATGGCTTTCTCTTGTGCAGGATGGCAAGGGAAGGAGGGAGACAGTTTGGAACTTAAAATGTAACAAAAATAAATGTAATTTAATTTAAAAAGAAATAAATTATTGCTATTATGGTTGCTGTTATTTCAAATGCTAAGATGGACCTTAGGGGAAGATCTTGTAAAGACTACTGCACTGTAGTTGTATAGAACCAGAGTAGTGAATGGAAAAAAAAAATCACAAATATAAAAATATTCCAGTCCAAGTAGAGCAAGAAAATGGTAGCTAGAAACAAAGTAGTTTTTTCCTATAAGTAAAAGAATTGCCCTAGTTCTCTGCATAACACATGGACCACGACAGAAAGTCCATAACCATCCTTCTTGTTCAAACTCAGTCAACAACTGAGAAGTCTATGTGATAATTATGGACATGTAGATATCATTATTTCACTTATCTTCATACCAGCCTTGTGAACTAAGTAGCGCAGCTACGAATCAAGATCACACAGCTAGTAAGTAGTACCACAAGCTGAGTGAGATTTGAACTTGACCTTCTAACTCCAAGGCCATTGTTATTTTCACACACTCAACAGCCCCAAATTTTGCCTGTGGTCAACCAGCTTAGCAATGATGATTAAGTAATTCTTCCTCAAACAGGAACTATTTTGAGGCTCCCTTTCCAATAAATATTTATTAACTGTTCTGGATATTGTTTGTGTTTTGTTTTGTTTTTAAATTGAGGCTGATAGAAATCTTGTTGTTCAGTTTTTTTCAGTTGTGTCCAAGTCTTCATGACCCGATTTGGATTTTTCTTGGCAAAGATACTGGAGTGGTTTGCCATTTCCTTCTCCAGCTCATTTTACAGATGAGGAAACTTTGGCAAACAGAGGTAAGTGACTTGCCCTACTTCACACATCTAATAAGTGTCTAAGGCCAGATTTGAACTCAGGAAGAGGAGTCTTCCTGACTCCAAGCCCTGCACACTATCCACTATGCCACTTAGCTGTCTAATAGAAATCTTACCATGGACAAATATGGTTTAGACAATTCACAGATCTTCCAATGAGGAATGCTAAAATGAGGATATATCACAGTCATATTACACAGGCATTTGACAAATATTTGCCAGTCAAAAGGCTCATGGAGATAGTGCTTGAAAATATGTTTTACAAATGTGTAAGTGGAAGGTCAAGATGGTAAAAGCAAAAAATCTTCCAGGACTTCAGGGATAGTTAATGGGACCCTAGATAGAAGAACTGAAATAAGTCTTATAGTTGTTTCATTCTGCTGGGCAATTAGAGCATCATCTCTTTCTTGATGCTGATCTAATCCAGCATATTCAGTTTGCATTATTTCTGGACTTGCATCATGTATCTCCTTTAGTAAACAAAAATTTCTTAAATTTTTTGGTTTTAAAGTGATTGCTTAAATATCATCCATTTTCATTCCTCTCTAGGCTGCACTCCTGACTCTCCAGACTTTCTCTAGAATGCCACAGAAACCTCTTTACCTGGAAGGTCCTATATCCCTAGACTTTCCACGTTGAAAACCTACCCCCATCCCAGACCATCGGGTCTTTCTTTCTGATTAACTGGTTCCTCCAGAACCTCCATTTTAAGGAGGATACCCAAGCTAATCATGTCTTCACTTCTCTCCAGACTTTCTCTACAATGGCCCTGCATTGGATACCTTCATTCCATTCCCACTTTTAAGCTTCATTTTACATGACCTCTTCTGCCATTAAAATGGAAGCTCCCTGAAGGCAAAGGCTGTCCCTTTCTCTGTTTGTGTCTGTATTGCCAGCACTTGGCATAGTTAAGTGACCAAGCATTTATTCATTTCTAAGGCTAATTGTTTGGTATTATATTTTTAAAACTTTTTTATTGTGAATTTAATAATCATCACAGAAATTTTGGTAACCAAAGAATAAAAAAACACCTTTCTCATGTTGTGGATGTATATGCTTTAAAAAAAATACCATGTAAATATTTTTCTTAATTTTTTTTTTAGGCATTCAGGGCTAAGTGACTTGCCCAGGATCACACAGCCTGTAAGTGTCAAGTATCTGAGGCCAGACTCAGGTCCTCCTGACTCCAAGCCCAGAGCTCTATCCACTGTGCCACCTAGCTGCCCCCATTTTTTCCTCATTTAACGGCAGGTTAAATTATACTCCAATCAATCACAGTGCTTTATTATGAAATACTGAACCTTTACTTCCATACCTTAACTCACTTTCCTCCTAGCTCTCACCCATCCTCCATAAATGAGGAAACTTACTTAGTATTTCTGGGCTGTTTAAATGTAATTTTTAAAAGGACTAGATATATAAAGGTTAATGCAAAAGGATAGGAAGCATTATCCTGTGGCTAGCAACCTAGTGGACTGCTATATTCCAACCTAACCATATTTCTAACTAATAGATGGAATATGAATTTTAAGGGTGTATACCTTATACCATTTGATTTCCATGTCATTCTTGTCTTGGATAAAATCATCGATGTCAGGGCACACTAGATATCCAGCACCTGAAGTGATTAGAACTTGTTGATAGGAAAGGGATTGCAAAGATGCTTCTGACTTCTTAAAGACCTTTAACTCAACAGACATTGTGGCACAATAGGATTCATTCCTGTAAAGAGATGACAGATAGCATTTTGTTATATCATACACATATAGAAAGAATGTCCAAGTAGAGTGAAACAAGCATTGGATCAGAAGACCTGAATTCAATTGCAGGTTCTACTATTTCCTAATTACGAGAAGCCTTCCTAATTACAGTGTTTCTCTCAGCCTCAGTTTCCTCATCCACAAAGAAGCAATAATAATTGGCCAATCTAATTCATAGGATTATCTAGCTGATCAAATTGAATAATGCATAGGGAGGTGCTTTCTAAATTATAAAAGCTTATAGGAACATAAGATTATATGCTAAACTATATATCATGATAACATTGAAGGAATATTATTATCGATACATTAAGTTTAATGTGGAATGCATTTGCATAGGCTTTATCATTTATAATTCGTTTTCATTTTAAAAATAATTATTATAATAGATAATTTAATGTCACAAGTAACCTTTTCACATGCCAAAGAAGATACCTTTGGAACATTCTGCTTTTCTTCTGACAAGAAGTCCATAGTATCATAAGACTTAGAACAAGAAGAAACCTCAAAAGTCATCTAGGCCAGATATTCCTTCTACAGCATTCTAAACAAGTAGCCTCTCAGCTTGTGTTCAGAGAGCTCTAGGAAGGGGAAAAGCCCTTACACTGCAATGCAACCCATTCAGTGTTCACACAGTCCTCACGGTTAGAAAGTTTTCCTTTATGTCAAATCAAAACTGACCTTCATACGCCTTTCATCCATTACTTCTAGTTCTGCCTCCAGAAGCCAAGTAGAAAAATCTAATCTTTCCCTACAATTATTTTGCATTTGCCATATGTGGATTTTGTATACATGTTGTTCACTCTCTGCCCAACTAGAATGTAAGCTCCTTGAAGTTGGGAACTAGTTCATATTGGTCTTTTTATCCTCAAAGTCTAGTTCAATGTCTGACCCGCAGTAAGGGTTTAATTGAATTTAAATGAATCAGATTGAATTGAAGACAGAAAATATATACGTGAAGATACAGACTGTTATTTATTGCCTTTGTGACTTTGGGCAAGGCACTGTGGTTCATATTCTCCTGTCAAAAAGAGGTAGTTGAACTAACCTACATGGTCCTGAATGTCTGCTCCACCTCTTGATCTATAAACATGTCATGTGTGTGTGCATACATATACATATATATGTATTATATATATAGACACATATATATACATATATACATATATATGTATATAGGTAGGTCTATTTAATATAGATGTGTGGATATGTCTATATTATAGACATATAGATATATATGTATACATGTATGTAATACATTCACATATATCTATATCATAGATATGTGTCTTTGTGTGTGTACATTTAGGTTATATAGATACATGTGTATATAGATATGTAGATCTATAGTATGGGATTTGTTATACAGATATATGTGCCTATGTGTGTATATATATCCATGTTATATAGATATATATGTATGTAAATATGTAGAGCTATATTATACAGATATAGGTGTATATATGCATATATCTGTTATGTAAATGTTTGCATATATGTATAACATAAATACATGTATATATATTCCTTTATATAATATATAAATGTATAGGTCTGTTTAATATAGATATATTATACGTATGTGTCTACATTATAGATATGTGTCTATATGTCTACACTGTATAGATATGTAGTATATATGTTGTCTATATGTGATATAGTCACATATATCTATGTTCTCTAGATGTATATATCTGTGTGAATATATTTGTTATATAGAAATGTGTATATAGCTATGTAGAGCTATATCATACTAATAGATGTGCATATATGCATATGTATGTAGATTATATAGATATGTAAATATGTATAATATAGATATATGCATGCATTTATCTATATAATGTAGATATATACATGCTAAGACAATTGTATCTCCCTTTCCCCCAGCTCCAAATTACCCAATCATCCTGGTTAGATTAGCGATGGTTTATCAGACAGCCAAATATCTAAATATTTGTCATGATGGGCCCAGGTTAAGCCAAAGGTCTTCTGTTCCCATAATCCTAGATCCTAGCCCAGCTTCCTGGAAACTTCCCCTATCCCAGCTCCCCACAATTGGCAGCCAGCCCAGCACTTCAGGTAAAGGACCTGGAAAAATCACAGCAAGAAAACTCATTTCTGTGAAACAAATGGCTTGGTGGATCACAGGCCCATTAAAAAAAAAAGTTGCCAATACCCTAAGTAGCAAGAGAGCAAGCCTCCTGTTGTATTGCTAGAAATACAACACATTCAATAAGAAACTTCTGTTTGAATTCCTATCTATTAAAAAAACTTATGAAGACCTAGCTTATTTCAAAACTTTTATTAAAAAAAAAAACTTTAAAAAGAAAAAATTATCACTTGGTATTGAGCATTCTCTATTTTTGCTAGGCCATGGGGTTAAGTGACTTGCCCAGGGTCACACAGCTAGTAAGTGTTATATGCCTGAAGCTGCATTTGAACTCAGGTCCTCCTGAGTCCAGGGCTGCTTCTCCATCCACTGCACCACCTAGCTGCCAGTTATAATTATTTTTGTTGTTCAGTTGTATCCAAATCTTCATGCCCCTTTGAGGTTTTCTTGGCACATACTGGAGTGGTTTGCCATTTCCTTCTCCAGCTTATTTAACAGATGAGGAAATTGAGGCAAACAGGGTTAAGTGACTTGCCTCACAGATATTCAGTGTCTTAGGCCACATTTGAACTCAGGTCTTCCTAACTCCTGATCCGGCACACCGTCCACTGTACCACCTAGCTACCCATTGTAATTATAACCTTCACCAAGAAGGCATGCCAAAAGAAAATAGTTGTCCTCTATTAAGATCCAAAAAGAGAATCAGACAGGTGTGGTTGTATTAAATTAATGTTGTATTATAAACTGAAATCTTCTCCTACACTTGTGACAATAGAGCACAAACTCTAAAAATTTCTATCCAGCTGAAGAAGCTATAGTATGGGCTTGGTGACATTGTATGGTCATCAGCTAAGGACTAGTATTCTTAAATTTAGAAAAACATCACCAGAGGGCTGGCCACTGAGTGATTTTTATTGGTCAGAGAAACTCATGAAGACTGTTAGTGAAAGTCCAGAGAGGAAAGGATCTATGAAAGAAATACAGTAAATATGTCACTGATCCTTGAAATATTGAAGGACAAGCTGAAATTGAATAGTGCTGGATCCCCTTCCCCCAACTGCTAGTGCCTTCCTTTCCAAACTATTTTTTTAATTAGCATTATTCTCTTAATGTTTATTCTATATGTAAGTTTTCATAAGTTAAAGTTAAATGAAGACCTTTGGGGGCACCATGATCTTCTCAGTTAGGAATGAACTCACTTATGCATTCATCCTGTTCTAATCTGTGTTTTATTTGTCACGCCATCCTAATCCTCCCAGTAGATTGCAAACTCTTTAAAGGCAGAGACTGTAGCTTATTTCGTCTTTGTAGACACACCACATATGTGGCCTAACATCTACCACATAATGACATTTAATAAATTGAAGTGAATTATGTTAAGCATTTCTTCATTGTCTTTTAAAATGCAGCTCTCAGGAGGGTTTCATAACACTTTTATCATATCAGGAAGGAAAACGAATTGGAGCTGGAAGAGATGTGGAGGAAGAAAGGTATCTAAATGTGAATGTGAGGGACTCATTTCATAATTCTTCCTAATCCATCAGTAAGCATTTATCAAATGTCTACTATGTGCTAGGGCAGTAGATAGAGCACCAGGCTTGGAGTCACGAAGACCTGAATTCAAATCCAGCCTCAGACACTAGCTGTGTGACCCTGGGCAAGTCACTTAACCCTGTTTGCCTCAGTTTCCTCATCTGTAAAATAAGCTGGAGAAGGAAATGGCAAACCACTCCAGTAACTTTGCCAAGAAAATCCTAAATGGGGTCACAAAGAGGTAGCCACTCCTGAAAACAACTGAACAACAACTGTGTGGTAGGCATTGTGGGTACAAAGACAAAAATAAAATAGTCGCTACTCTCAAGACCTGACATCCCACCTGAGGCAGGTCTTCTCTACAAGAAAGTTTTTCAGAAGAACTAGAAAGAAGAACAATGCCAGTCCTGTTGAAATAAGGGGAGTCATTTGTTAAAATAACAGAGCAGGAGGCAGAGTCAAGATGGTAGAGGGAGAAGAAGCAATTGATCATAGCCCACCCCTGTCTTTTTTCCTCAACAATCTTGAAAAATATCCCACTCCAAAATCTGATCAGGAAAGATAAGAAAAGTCACAGTGAGTTATTTTTCATTACATGGCAGCATAGAGAGAGAGAGACAGACAGAGAGGTCTGTAGCAACTGGGGAAAACATACAAACACACACACACCCCATCCATTTCCCCTTCCCAACTCCCACCACCATCTCTTCACAGAAAGCTCCTACCTAAAGGTGCAAATGTAAGTTCCCGAGTCCTCTGGTGTCGCTGGCAAAATCCAAAGGGCATTATCTTTTGTCCTTGTTCTGCCTGATCTGTGGGTTCCTAGAACAGTCTTCTCGGAATCATTTTTATGCCATGACAGGTTGTAGTGGAGACTGAAGAGGACCCTGTTGCCGAGCTTCGGGAAAGGGCTTTTCAGGACAACAGGTTCTGCTTCTACCCTGAATTTTTTAAAATACTTGCCGAGATACTGGCAGTTTTCTACTGTCAGAAAGAGTCAGAAAGGTCACAGTTAGCATGAATAAGCAGCAACTGGCAATGGAAAGAACTCTGGATTTGGAGTCAGGGCAAGTGGGTTTGAATTCTATCTCTGCCTCTACTTCTTTGTGAGACTTTAAGGAGGCCATTCCTTGGCTCCCGGCGTTCTCTCTGTCTGTTCCCCATGCCTGGAATGCTTTCCCTCCTCCATTCCAACTACTCACCTCCATGGCTTCCTTTAAGTGAAAACTAAAATCCCACCTTTTACAAGAAACCTTCCCCAACCCTCCTTAATTCCAGTGCCTTCCCTCTTAATTAGGTCCTATTTATCCTGAACATAGCTTGCTTTGTGTACATTTGTCTGTACATTGTCTCCGCCATCAGATTGTAAGCTCCTTAAGGACAGGGACTATCTTTTGACTCTTTTTGTATCGTTTTGCATTTAACGCTGGCTCTCAGTGACTGGCACCTGGTAGGTACTTAGATAAATGTTTATTGAATTGAACTGAACTGAATTTCACCCCTCTGTTGGTCAATTTCCTCTGGGTTCAATTCTCATCTCTTTGTTAACCATGTGACCTTGGCAAGTCACTTAACATCTTCTAGGAAAGAAGAAAAAGCTAAACAAATTCCTCATTTGTAAACGGAAAGGGTTGAGATCCATTCCAGTTAAAAATCTTTGACCACCGATTTTTAAAACACAATATATTGACTGTATCTAGACCATGTCAAAACCATGGGCCGCCAGCCAATCCAGTCTCAAAAAAAAATGCTGTCATTTCAAAGAAGAAAAAATGACAAAGCCAGTTTGACCTGATGGAACTGAAAATGATCAGCTGCTCTGACCACCTTGTCCATGTGGCCTCCCCTGATTTCCCTCAATCAGAAGGGATTCTTCCCTCAATGAACTCTCTGATACTTGATTTGTACCCCTCCTATGCTTCCACACTCTACTGCATCCAAGCTCCTTGAAATATGCTTTTGTCTTTGTAACCCTAATACCTAGCAGGGTACCTGGCATATAGAAGGAACTTGATAAATGTTTGCTGATTGATTCAGTGATTGAGTACGTATCTTTCCCCATCTGCTAGACAAGTGAAGGCAGGGGATATAATGTGACTTATTCATCATTGGATCCTCATTAGGACCTAGCATGTTGCCTTGAATTTTGCTACTGAATTGAATTGACCATATTTTACTTTTTTCAGTTAGTGTCACACACACACACGCAGCCGTTGAGGTGTCATGTTCAGACAAAATAATCCCTTCCACACAGGAAATTAAAAAAAAAACTGCAGGCAAATTTGTTTCCACTCATCAGATCTGGTTTTTTTACCTGTGTTTTTCTTGGGTTGAATGCTAGAAGCAGAAACACTCACTGCCAATGCATAGAAAAAGAAGAAAAATCCAAATAATTTCTGGAGGCGGGAAACTGAAAGCTGAGGTCCAGTATCTAGAAATCTAGAAAAAGTGAGAAAGGTCACACAGGAAACCACAAGCCAACTAAAGAGTTGCACGTATCCCCTGAGGGAATATTACAAACAGGTCCAGGAACACTGTAAAATTGGTTATTAACAAAGAGGCTAGAGCAAAGGATCTCTTGGGTCCTATATAGCCCCAAATCATAACATTATAATCCCAGGATGGTCGATTTAGAACTGAAAGGTAGACCAATCTCCTCATTTTACAGATGAGATTCAGAGAGGAAGTGAGGTGTCTATGAGCAGACAGATCACAAATGCCCCTGGCTTTGAATCTCTCATTCTTACTATTGCATACGCAATGAAGAGCTAGCTAGTGTGCCTCTGCCTGAAATTGCCCATGGGGGAAGGAAGGCTTAGGTCACTGAGATGAGAGCACTTGGGAACAGCAAGGCTCCTTTTGCTGATCTGCTCCCTCCCCTGCCTCCCCTCAAGGGTTGAAACTCCCATTACTTAAGCATTATGTGGACAGGATTTGAGAAAAAAATGAAAATTATTAGCATGTTTCAGAAACTCCCATTACTTAAACATTATGTGGACAGGATTTGAGCAAAAAATGAAAATTATTAGCATGTTTCAGTTCTGGGTACCATATTTTTAGTTGTTTCAGTTGCGTCCAACTCTTTGTGACCCCTTTTTGGGGGGTTTTTGTCAGAGATACTAGAGTGGTTTTCCATTTCCTTCCAGTTCATTTTACAGATGAAGAAACTGAGGCACAGAGTTAAGCAACTTGCCCAGGTGACGCAGCTAGTAAGTATCTGAGAATGGATTTGAACTCAGGTTTTCCTGATGCCAGGCCCAGAGCTATATCCACTGCACCACCTAGATGCCCCATATAGCTGCTGTTTTTTTGGGAAGGGCATTGGTAAGCTAATGGATGAGGAAGGGCATCAAGGTCATGCTATTCTGTTTTGCAAGGATCTTCAGTGGTTCTTTATTGCCTATAGGATAAAATACAAATGTCTCAGATTGTCATTTAAGTACCTCCAAACTAGAGCCAGCCTTCACTTCCCACTAGTGCTCCTTTACATTCTCTCCATTCCAGCTGAACTGGCCTATGGGCTGCTCCCCTGAATTCAACACCGTTGTATAAGCTGTTATCCATGCTCAGCATGCCCTCTCTCTTCAATTCCATCCTTTAAGATCCTTCACTTTCTTCAAGGCTCAGCTCTATTGCTATTTTCTTATCTAGCTTCAATTTTTTGAAATTTTCACTTGTGTGAAATATTCCATTCTACAACAATACTGAATAAATGGAGAATCACTATACTATACATAACTTTATACTTATAGATTAGGTTTAGTTGTTTGTTTTTTCTTTTTGGTGAGGCAATGGAGTTAATTGACTTGCCCAGGGTCACACAGCTTGTAAGTGTTAAGTGTCTGAGGTCACATTTGAACTCAGGTCCTTCTGACTCCAAGGCCAGAGCTCTATCCACTGTACCACCTAGCTACCTCTAGAATAGATTCTTTAGACTTCTCCTTGCGTCATTCCAGACTAGTTATTTCCTCAAATCAGATGGTAAATTCCTCAAAGATAAGAATAGTATCTTCTGTTTATTTGGTTATCTCCCAACCTATATTATCCACACAAAGAGATACTTAGTATTTATTTAAGTAGTTCAAAAGGTCCAAATTTCCTCAGTGTTAAGTACTACCTTCATCAACACATATGGCGCAGTAGAGTGCTGGGCCTGGAGTCAGGAAGGCCTGCATTCAAATCCAGCCTCAGACACTGGGAAGTCACTTAACCTTTGTTTGCGTCAGTTTCCAATAGAGACAATAATGGCACCTACCACATAGAGTTGAGATTTTGTGCAGATCAAATGAGATAAAAATTGTGAAGTGCCTGGAGCATGGTAAGTGCTATATAAATGTTAGCTATTGTTATTCCATGTCTTAGGAGATGATACTCCATGAAAGGTCATGGCCAAATGAAATGTTGGCCTTGTGGCCAAACTTCTGGCAATGAGCCTTGCTGAATTTAGTTAGCCTAGTCCTCAGATGACAGCCGTGTGGTCTACCGATGGTCAGGACCATCCTTGAAGTCATTCTGTCTTTGTAGTTCCTGCCTTTGAGCTGCCAGAGCCTCCAATGTAACTCGCCATCACTTCCATACCACAGTGAAGTATCAGAGGAGGACATAAGTCAAGGGTGCTCAACACATATGATTAAAATATGGCTTCATTTTCTGCCAGAAGGAACTCAAATTTGGACTGAGGACAAAAGTTAATCACTGTCCACCGGATTGGGTTTACAGCAATGTACAACTTTGGAAAGAATAGTTAGTGTTTCCACAATTGGACATTTGTTGTGGTTCTACTTTGGCCTGGGAGATTTCAGGCCCATTTATCTTTGCTTTTTATGGAATGTGGCCCACCATGAGGCAGCCCAGAGGTGGGGGACCTACAGCCTCAAGGCCCTATGTGATTCAAGCTTACACATTAGAATGTAAGCTTCTTGAGGGCAGGAAATATTTCTTTTCTTTTTATTTTCTCTTTATATTCCAATAGGTATTTTATAAATGAAATTAAATTTCCTCAATCTCTTCAATCTCCTCAGATCACAGTCAATGACATTGCTGACTCTGCAGAAGAGTCCTAGAAGTTGTCCTAGGAAACAAGGAAAGTAGGGAGGTTCAAGAAATATAGGGACTTACGAAATAAGGTCTTACAGAGTCAGTGGTGGTCCTATGAGCAAGGCCCAAAGCATCTGCCACTCTGATAAGTCATAGTGAGTAGAAGGGAAGTGTGCTGAAATGAATCTTTGGGATGATTAATTTCCGATTACAAAACCAGAACCTCTGAAGGAAGAAATCTATGGTTGACAAAAGTCAAGAATTCGATTCAATTTGATAAATATTTATGAAGTGGTATAGTGAAAAAGCCGATAATGCTAGGAGAAGACGTGGGTTCAAATTCTGTCTCTGATATTTAATGCTAGGAAAAGACGTGGGTTCAAATTCTGTCTCTGATATTTACTACCTGAATGACTTTAGGCAAGTCATTTAAACTCCCTGGGCCTCAGTTTCCACATCCGTAAAATGGAAAGGTAGACTAGAAGGTCTTAGAGATCCTTTCTTTTTCTAAGTCTATGATCCTAGGATTCAAAGTGCTTACTATGTATAAGACATTATTCTAGGATTTAGGGGTACAATAATAAAATGAAGTGTAGATCTGCCATCAAAGGAAAGCTAGGTGGTGCCATGGATAGAGTACCGGGCCTGGATTCAGAAAGACTCATTTTCCTGAATTCAGATCCATAGGTTTCAGACACGGCACTTAACCCTGTTTGCCCCAGTTTCCCTATCTGTAAAATGAGCTGGAGAAGGAAGTGGAAAACCACTCCAGTATCTCTGCCAAGAACACCCCAAATGAGGTCATGAAGAGACAGGCATGACTGAAAACAACTATCATCAAAGAAATTACAGTCTGGTGGGGGGAGATAGAATATAATATGTGTACACATGATGCCAGGATGCCAGGAGAAATCCAAACAAAAGAGCAGTCAAAATTTAGCACTCTCTCCTGTAGTCTTAATAGCTATAGCTATAATAGCTAAATAACTATAGCTATACTACAGCTCAGATAGCAGTTCCTAGCTGCAAATATGAATCCATAGTACTTAAAAAGCTTCAGTAGGGGCAGCTAGGTGGTGCAGTGGATAATGTACCAGCCCTGGATTCAGAAAGACCTGACTTCAAATCTGGCCTCAGACATATAACACTTACTAGCTGTGTGACCCTGGGCAAGTCACTTAATCCCATTGCCTAGCCAAAAAAAAAAGCCTCAGTGAACTCATCTAATGATATGACTTACAGGTGAGGTTGGTAGAAAGCGCTTTGGGAGACTTGCATTCTAGTCCCTGGTCTCATACTAACTAATGTCTGTCTGGGAGATCAATTAACCAATCAACTAGCTTTTATTACATGCCTTCTAAGTGATAGGCACTGTACTGAGCTCTGGGAATATAAAACCAAAAATGAACATGTCCCTGCCCTCAAGGAGCTTACATTCTGTCAATAAGACACAAATTCTCTGGATTTGTTTCTTCAAAAGATGAATATTCTTGGATTCTCTTACAATCTTCCCATCCTATGATTCTCTTTCTTTGGAATGTAACAAACAATAAGCATTCAAAACTGGGCTTGCCTTTTACATAAAATACTTCCATACTTCTCTAGTTATGTGATTAGTTCATTTTTTGTTTTATTTTTTAAGTCATGAATCACAAACATCTGGCCAGGCCTTAGGATGTTGGGTAATTGGGGGGCACAGGTCAATGCAAACTAATAAAAATCTACATTTTGTAAATTTTTAAAAGAAACATAGTTTTCTTTCAAGGACTTTCAGTAACAAGCTAGGACTGACAAAGCCCCTATAAGCTATTTGGTGATGAAGAAACCTTGAGACCTTCTTTGGTAAGTAGAGAACATATTTATTATATTAGTGGATTAAGTATTTAAAGAACAATTGTTTTTAAATTTATGCATATCCTCTGTGATTTTACAAATTGTTCATTTGCTTAACAAAGTCCCTTTTTTCAGTTGACATAGAGATAAATCCGGGCTGAAATGGTCACACATACTTAAATAGAAGAGTTTGAATTAAAGAGATTGTGGTGAGTGGATAGAATGCTAGCCCTGGAGTCAGGAAGACTTGAGTTCAAATTAAACCTGAACACTTAGTTGTGCGACCCTGAGGGATTTGCTTAATCCTCTTTGCCTCAGTCTTCTCATCTGCAAAATGAGCTGGAGAAGAAAGTGGCAAACCATTCCAGTCTCTTTGCCAAGAAAACCCCAAAGTCAGGAGAGTCAGGACTAAAATGACTCACAAAAATAAATAAACACGTTTCCAAATCATTGGAAAAAAATACATTCTTTTGGGTCACTTAGACAGTTTCCCAATAGGCTCCCAAGAATTTCCCAAAAGACAGCAAAGTTTAGAGAACAGAATGTAGGGACATCTGTCAGCTGTGTGA